AGGAGTTTGTCGCTCTGACATCATCACGATTCCTGATGAACGCAGCAGACTGATGAAGCTCGCTGTGGAAAACTGTAGCGACCAAACCGTCCTGAAGTGGCTGAGAGAAAACTCAGAGTCCAGCACATTCAGCAAGCTGGCGGACATGTTTAACTTCCTGAAGACGCACATCGCTGCAGAGGAGAAGAAGAACCACAGCGACGCTGTGGACATCACCTTCATGGCTCATGGATCAATCAGAGACTTCATGATGCCAGCCAGCTGTCTGCTGCCTCTGGCCTCCATCAGGGACGTGGTTCTTTATGCTCCCTGGAACTGTGTCACATGCGGTTTGGGGTACGGCATCGCCACAGGACGGCTGCAGCCTCAGCACAGAGTCTTTTACTGCACCAAGAAGCTCGGCTGCACAGTGCCTGATGAAAAGCACCGACCCATGATGGTACCGGACCGCTGGAACTCTATGAGTCAGGCTGGAGACCAGATGATCCCAAACATCACAGTTAGTCCTCTTCGACCGGATGATGGAATCTGGAAACGCTTTGAGTCTCTCATCAAAAAACACGGTTCTGTTGGGAGAAACCGGATCGTGGTCCCGTTCATCTTCCCAGGAAAAGAAACAGAGAGCGTCCCGTTCTCTGTGGTCACCTTGGCCCTGTCTCTGGTTCTGCTGCAGTCCAGGTTCAGAGCCACCGTCCACCTGGACGCCTGCCTGGGAGACGGTTCTGTTGGACAGAAGTTTGATAAAAGCTACCTGGAGCAGCAGTACGCCTGCGCCATCGACGGAACCGGACTGGCATGTTCTCCTGAGATGTTCAGTCGGGTCCAGTTGGACATACCTGAGGTTTAAACACAGAGTTCTTCCCTTCCATCACCACAGCACTTTTATTTTCTAAGCATTATGACGTTATATCTGTAGACCTCCAGGTTCTTCACAAACTCAATCTGAAAACAAAGATTTCAGTTTTTAGCAGCGCTAAAAACCTATAAATAAAAAATTTCATACTCTTTTTTTGTGTCTTCAAGACAAACTTAAAGTCTCAGAACCGTCAGATTTCTCAGGTTTACAGTTAAATCATCAACATTTCTCCTCTGAAAAATATAAAATCTTACCAAGTATTTTGAGTCAAGCTCCTGCTAGAAATATTTGGCAAATTATTTCACTTACAAGACATTTTTCCTGTTACAAGAGGAATAATCTGCCAGTAGATCTAACTCCAATATCTGAAAAGTTACTTGTAAGTTAGTTTCATCTTATTTAAATTTTGCTAATATATTTGCAACAGAAACTAGATCAAAGATACTTGGTGATATTTTTCACTGTGCATAAATATTTGCTGATATTATCCAGAAAAACACAAACAGGGAAGTGAACGGGTCTTAGTCCAGAACCCTGTGGAACACCAGAACTGATTGAAGAACCTGTGGAGAAAAAATTGTTTACATCTAAAATCCATAAAGATTTGAAGTGGTACTGGTTCTGGTTTAGCTACTGTAAAAGGGTCAAATGTGAATAAAAATAAATAAAATACCATACTAATGACTTTTTGTCTGCTTTTGCTGTATTCCTAGTTACTAAACATAATAAAAATGACATTATGAAACATTAAAATCGTGAATCTGTAAAGCATATCTCTTAATTTCTGTATTTTCTGGATGTTACCAGAACCTCTCGGCGGTTCTGTTCCCTAATAATCTAGTAAATCTTTTAGATCAAGTTCAAGTTACACCAATTGTGTAAAAAATGTGCAAATAACAGCAGTTTTGGGTTATTGGTAGCAGTGAAGATTTTAGAATCTAACAACACGTAGAAAACTGTTTTAATACTTAAATTTTTCTATGTTTGGATTTGAGTTCAGATTAATTTATTTAGACCTTTTTAATCTATTCAAATAGAAAATATAAACTATAATTTAAACTTAGTTGTAAAAACACTTAAATTTAAAAAATCTAATTTGACCTTATTTTCAATATTTTCTTCATATTACATTGTTTTAAACAACTAAAGGATTCAATGTTTCATATTTGTACATCCGACTGCTGCTTTGAGTCGTCGTCTTCACAGAAATGGCGACATTTCCATGACCAATGTGAGCAAAATGTTGTCAATATTCCACTGTTAATAAAATGCTACTTTTCAATTGTGGTGTTTCCATTAAATAAAAGCCACAATTAAAATTGCATGGGAATACATTTGTTTATTCAATAAACTATTTAAAAATATCATCCTTATACCACTTCCTCTCATCTTCTTTGTCGTTTCCAGCAGTAGTAACATCCAGTTGTATGAAAAAACAGTTTTTATTGCAGTTTTGCAAAATACAGTAACTTTGGAAAACTTTGGGTTTTTGTAAAGTTGCCAAGTTTCAATTATGCACATTTATTTCCATAATTCCAGTTTACTCGGTTTTATGGCCAATGGAAACGCAGCTGAGCAAAATGATGAAGATCCAACAGTGTGATGGGGTTCTCTTATGACTTGGGCCACCACACACACAAAAATGACGGGCCAAGGCCAGAGATTACTTTAGTGACATTTATTTTCTGTCAGTACAGTGAATCAAAGTTTTGCAGGTGCAAAATATTTACAAAAAGATGTCCAAGGCAGGTTAAATCAAAACAGCACAGCAGTACCTTCAAAGTGTAAGTGTATCACCTCCAGTGTGGCATCTCTGGAGTCTAGGTGCAGACTGCCACCCTGTGGAACAGAACCCTGCTTTTAAAGCCACAGGCTCCGCCCACAGAAAGTCCAATCAAGCAAAACAAACAAAAAAAAAAAAAACTCAGCAATTACTTCCAACTCAAATTAACACTTAAAATATACAAAATAATAATAAGAAAAAAATAAATAAATTTGTTATAAAAATACACTATTGTAGAGAACAACCAGCACATTGTGATGACAGCACCACAAACCGGAAACAACTAAACTCAAACATTTGACTGAAAACATTTTCCCGAATGTTTGACTGAAAATAACAGATTATGAATGCCAACCGAAACGGGAACACCGCTTCGGTGTGCACCCACGATGAACCGCCTCGGTTCAAACTGCAAAAAAAAAGGAAGTTAATGTTTGTGCATATTTGTGTAGATGTGCGGGCTTAATGGCGCGGACTCTTTAATTAGATCTCAGCTTGTGACCGTCCGTCACCAACAGACATCTTGTTTTGCTGAGCCAAAGCAAATGAAGCTGAATAAACTCAGAAGCCAATGAATTCATAGTTTAGATCCTTCTCACCAATCACAACTGTTGCTTTTTCCTCATTTCCTTTCAGCCACTTGAGAGCAGCTCTCTGATTGGCCAGACAGGTTGCTGCTAATTTAGGCAGATTTTTGTTGCCGCCCCGAACAATGAGTTTCCAGTACATGTTGAGATCCTCTGAGCTGAGTTTCCTGTCTTTGCATCGATTCCTCTTGTAGAAACTTGTGAACTTTGGTTGACCCTGCACCCACCCAACACGTGAGCTATAAAGAGAGAGGTGAGCCAGCTGCAGCTGACCAGTGGTATTCTGTGCATGTTTTTCTTATGCGTGAACTTTCACCTCATTGAGATAACAGTTTTTCTATGGCAGCTCCTCAGCTGTGCCATCTCTCTTTTTTCTCTTATTTTAATCCAAGAAAAACTCAGCGTGGTTCAAAGTTATAATTTAATTATTGCAGCACATGTAACAGTATGCTTGCAATGAAGCAAAAATGTTAGAATTTTTCCTAAGCTAAATTCAAACTTTTGTTTAACATTTCCAAGGCTTCAAATGAACTAAAAAAAGACCCAGAGATAAAGAAAGATGGTCTGTGTGCTATACTGGTACTTTCACTTTTGTGTTCCAGGAAGCAGTTTGATCCTGAGAAATGGACTGACATCATGTTTACTGGTTCTGTCAGGAAACCCCCAGTTAAAGCTGAACTGGGTTCATTTTTCTCCAGACCACAGAATCAGGACTTTACTCTAAAACAGGGGTGGGAACTCCTGGTCCTGGAGGGTCAGTCTCCTCAGGAGACTCTCCTGCAACTTTCAGATGTTTTTCTGCTTCAACACACCTGAGTCAAATAATGAGGTCATTAGCAGGACTCTGGAGAACTTGACTGCATTTAGGAGGTGATTCAGCTGTTGGATTCAGGTGTGTTGGACCCGGGAGACATCCAGGAGTTGCAGGACACCCCTGCTCTAAAATAACGTTATTCTAATTAGAGCTGAAACAATTCATCAGATTCATCATGGTTAATCAATTATTAAGATAATTGCCAACTAATTTAATAATCGATTAATTGTTTACTGTTGTATTCAGAATCTGCACCAACTGTAAATTACTAAATATTTCTTGCACTGTCTGCTCTTTGTCCTTTGGGTTCAAGGAGAGAGAGAGATCCCCCTTTGCTCGTCCCGCCTCCTGCCTGCAGATCTTCGTTATAAGCAGCCGTGTGGAGACCAGAAACTCTTCTAACAGAAGCAGAACAGCAACAAACTGTGAGTAAAGTCTGTTTTGTTTCCTCACTATTAGTTTGTGTGTAAAATCCCATGAAATACTGACTGAAAAATCATGAAATTGTGTTTTTCTTACGTTACTGAACTTAGATATATTTATTGAATATGACAACAGAAATCTATTGATTTGATAAAATAAAAGCTGAAATGAAAATGTGAAACATTTAATTATGTTTTAGTTTGTTAGAATGAGGGTTGAACCCATGACCTTTGAGTTATTAACACTATGCTCTGACCAGCTGAGTGAAACTGAGCTGGTCAGAGAGAGCATAGAACTTTCATGCATTAAAAAATACTACAAAAATTTTCAGAAGCAAGTGTTTCCATTTTCAAATAATTTTTTACTTTTTATTTTGAAGTAGTGATTTTATCTTTTTTTAATAAAATTTTATTTTTGAGACATTTTTAATTTTGAAGTGTTTGTATTTCAGAACCATTTTTTATTTGAAATTGTTCAGCTTATAATGCGCGTCTTTTCACTCACGTCTGCACTTTTTAAAGCGTTTTTCCTTCGAAGGACATGAACTCGGGTAGAGGAAGATTTAAAAAGACGCGGGTTGGTAGCGGGTCACCGCGGCTGCGTAGCGTTCAGGGGTCCTTCAGCTCCCGCCACGACATGTAAGCTGCCCTTAATTTTGGCTGTTATTGTTAAACTTAGTATTGATGTGTTTGTTAGAGGCGTGTCTATCGGACAGTTATGCATCGGTTCAATACGGGACGCACATTTAACGGCCAAATATGTGACGACGTCGTATTTTACGGGATGGGTGGCAATATTATTCAGTGGTGCTGATGCGCCACTGGTCTTAATCTGAAATATTTAACATTTCATTGTTTGCCGATAAAAGCAGCAGATTTAATCTCAGAAATAAAAACTTTGATGAAACGGAAATAAAACAGGAAGCAAAGATAAAATTGAGCAATTTTCTTAAGATTAGCATCAATAATTATACATGGCTCTTTTTTTCTATTCTGAAACATATAAACAATAACTTTCCTGTTAACATAACAAACAAGAAGTTCTAAAGGAATTAAAATCTGTCCTGCAGGAGTTCAGTATAAAGTCCAATCTACACTTTTACTTTCTGTTTCCTCAAAGATACTGTGGGGGCAAAAGGGGGTTTATCTAAGTTCTGCCGGTGTTATGCCGAGAAATGCATGCCTGCCGAGAATTGCATCCCCTGTCGCGGGAGCGCGCATCGCTCTAAACTCTCGCATATTGATGAGTAAACGGGCTGAAATCCGACCGAAGAGGAAACTTTTAAAGATATTCGTAACATTATCACGTTTATTAATCATGTAAGCGCTAAAATTGTGGGTTTTATTTCGCAAATTAATTAAAATAAACAGATTTTTTCACGTTTATTGAGCCATATTTGTCGAACGTTCTTCAGTGTCTGATGAACAAGTTCTCCGCAGCTGCTTTGAAATTCCAAGATTTTTCTTTTAACACCATAATAGCTTAAAACTTTACAAAACCGAGGCCCAATTACGTAGAACATTTTATATCACGCTTAGCTGTCTAGTGTATTAATGTAGGGGAGATGCATTTTAATTTCTGAGCCTGCTAATATTTGCATTCCCTGTCTATTGTCCTGTTCATATGAAACTTATAGTGGTAACTCAGGGAACAAGTGTCATTATGTAGAAAAAATATAATTTCCAAGTTAGCAGGGGATGCAATTTTTGGCAATATGGATTTCTAGCTTGCCAAAAATTGCATCCCCCCTGTTTTCATCAAATATTGTTGATATGACATTAAATTAATACCAGTAGTTCATGGAACTACTCTGGTCATGTAGAAAAACGTATTTCAGTTAACTCTTTATTTCACCAAATTAGCAGGGGATGCAATTTTTGGCAACATGGATTTCTAGCATGCCAAAATTTGCATCCCCCCCTGTTTTCATCAAATATGATCCAATTGAGATGAAACTCATACCAGCAGTTCTTACAACTACTCTGGTGATGTAGAACAAGTTATTTACCTCTCAACTCTGTGTTTCTCCAAGTTAGCAGGGGGATGCATTTTCCGGCAATTTTTGGCAAGCTGAAAATCCACATTGCCAAAAATTGCATCCCCTGCTAATTTGGTGAAATAAAGAGTGAAATACGTTTTTCTACATGACCAGAGTAGTTCCATGAACTACTGGTATTAATTTAATGTCATATCAACAATATTTGATGAAAACAGGGGGGATGCAATTTTTGGCAAGCTAGAAATCCATATTGCCAAAAATTGCATCCCCTGCTAACTTGGAAATTATATTTTTTCTACATAATGACACTTGTTCCCTGAGTTACCACTATAAGTTTCATATGAACAGGACAATAGACAGGGGATGCAAATATTAGCAGGCTCAGAAATTAAAATACATCTCCCCTACATTAATACACTAGACAGCTAAGCGTGATATAAAATGTTCTACGTAATTGGGCCTCGGTTTTGTAAAGTTTTAAGCTATTATGGTGTTAAAAGAAAAATCTTGGAATTTCAAAGCAGCTGCGGAGAACTTGTTCATCAGACACTGAAGAACGTTCGACAAATATGGCTCAATAAACGTGAAAAAATCTGTGTTTATTTTAATTTGCGAAATAAAACCCATTTTAGCGCTTACATGATTAATAAACGTGATAATGTTACGAATATTTTTAAAAGTTTCCTCTTCGGTCGGATTTCAGCACGTTTACTCATCAATATGCGAGAGTTTAGAGCGATGCGCGCTCCTGCGACAGGGGATGCAATTCTCGGCAGGCATGCATTTCTCGGCATAACACCGGGCCGAGTCGGATCCGGTGGTTCCCTCTCTGACAGGAAAGTGAAACAATAGTTCTCCTCTCTGCACTTCTGATAAGAGGCAGTTGACTCCCATCATCAGGATGAAATATTCCACATTCTTGAGTATTTTTGTTATGGCTTCTTCTTTGGCTACATATCAATTAATTGATCAACTGATTAATTGATATGCAGCCATTTTCTTAATCTTTTGTCAAAGGCCCTCTTGATGTTTTCGAAGGACACTTTGAAAACATCAAGGGGAAAATTTTCCATGTCAAATTTTTTATTTATTTTTTTACATTATTGTCTTACTTATAAAATCTGCTTGATCGAAATGATCAGGAACTGATTTTTATTATGAACAGTTTTTAATTACAACTCTGACTCCTTTGTTTTGGTGAATTCCTTTTGTCGTTTTTTTTTTTTTCAGTTACGGATTAGTTGATTGCTATAAGTTGACTATTATTTCAGTAGTCGATTAATCAGAATTGATCTGATTTAATTATTGTATTGAAATGATCAGTTTTGGTGCAAGAACTACTTTGACTCCTGTCTTTCAGTGAATGCTGACTTTTTTTCCCTCCAATTTATAATCACTAAATAAGTTCACACTTATTCGAATAATTGATTAATCGTGATTAGTATGATCAATTGTCAAAATAATCAAATTTAGGTTGTACAGTTTTGTCTAAAACATTACTGTTTATTTTCTTCTATCAGCAAATGCCTTTTTTTTTGCTTTTTCTCCAGTTATTGATTAATTGATTACTAAGTTGACATTAATCCCGATTAATTGCTATAATAGCTATAATACCTTCCTGCTCTTGTTGCAGATCTTCATCATGAGTGAAGCTGATGCTCTCGTACGTAAAGTCAATGAATGGGTGGATCTTCAGAAGAAATGTTCCAGGAAGCTGAAGAACCTGGCGGATGAGCTGGAGGAAGCGGTGAAGGCCGCCAACGTGACCAAAGTGGTCGGCAGCTCAGTCTCTGTGGGGGGAGCGGCCGCCATGACGACGGCGGGCGTGTTGACGTTGCTGACCGGTGGAGCAGCACTTCCTGTTATGGCTGCAGTGGGAGCTGCAGGAGCTCTGGCTTCTTGGACCAGTGCGGTAACCAGTGTTGGCTCTGATATGTACAGCGCCAGCAAGTCCAAAGACATCATGGAGGAAGCCCAAAAGGTTCTGGAAGAGCTACAGAGTCTTGAACAGGAAATGAAAAACCTCATTAAGTCACTGAAACAACAAGCGTCCAGCTTCCATTGTGGTTCAGCTGCTGGTGGTGGTGGAGGAGATGATGTTGACGGCAACGTTATGGAGTTTTTCATGACTTCGATGGCCAGACAGTTAGGGCTGGACGTCACTGGCATCATGTTCAGCGCGGTGTTTGGGTTACCGCGTATCAACATGTTCAAGAGGCTCAAAGCCAATGATCTTCTGATCGCAGCTTGTCTCAAAATCCTTACAAGAGCTCTGTTTGTGGCAGCCAAAGAAGGAGGGAAGAAAGCGGCTTCTTCTTTGGGGAAGAAAGCGGCTTCAAAAGCAGCTGGAAATGTAAGTAAGAATCTAACACCAGTAGGTAAAAACCTGGCAGCACTGGGGGCATCGCCCACCCAGTCAGCCGGGCCGTGTTGGGAGTATAAGTTTGATTATATTAATTTTAGAAACGGTTAATCTTTGTGCATATGAAATATTAGATGTAGCATGAATATTCTGAGTAGATTTTAAGTTTGGTAGATTTGGATAAAGATTCAAACTAAAACAACTGCTGACTTTCTGAACTTGCATAAATTACTAAAGAGGGCCTTCAGATGCTGTACCAGCAGATAGGTCAGAGGTCAGAGGGGGTCTGTGTTCACAAGATGAGTCAAATTCTTTGTTTAGGAGTTCAGTAAAACACTAAAACCTTTAGAAAACAATTCTTCTAGAAGTATAATCAAATGTATTAAGATATTTCTTTTAGGTATTAACAGCATGTTCTGAACTAGTTGGTGTCTAATCATACTAATTTGCATGCATCTTAGATTACTAAAATAGAACAGGAGTAGGAAACTAAAGTTTTAGAAGTAAAATATTTCAGGTATTCTAAGAGTTTTTTCTAAAAGTAGATAATCCTGCAATTTTTAGATCCAAACTCATAGTTATCATCTGACACCGGATTTCTGTGTATAACAGTAATCAGTTTCTTGTTGAATCGCTGAGGCAGAAAAACCACCAGGTCTAGTTGCAGGTCATAAATTTTGGTCTGACATGTTTAAAGGAGGACACTGGTACAGGAAGACCCTGTTTGAGAATGACCTTGGTTCTCTCCATATATTTGCTTTTGGGTTTGAACAAATCTCAAAGAAGGTAATAAAATTAACTTTAAACATCCCTACAAGGGGAGGACACACCTTCAAATGCATACATTTAAATGAAGGGAATACACCTCCTCATAAAATGTCTGTTTTACAGCAGAAGAACGAATTGCTTTGTTTGCAGCCGTGAGAACAATTCCCAAGAATACATTCTTGTGTTTCTCCTATTGTGTTTTCCTTTCCAACTCGTTGCAGGTAATTGTATGTTTTGTTATGCATTTGGACTTCTTGATAATCTGGGTGTAATGCTGATGTGACATTCTGTATGCATTGAATTCTCTGGATAAAACTCTAGATAAGTCTGATGTTGAATGGTTGTTCACTGTGCTTTCCACTGTGCATGCAGAGTCCCTAGATCCGGGAGACTAGAGGAAAATTAACGAGCCAAGTAAATTTATTCCTCTAAGTTCAACAGCCGCCGCTGGACTGGAAGCTGTTTTTATCTTTATTTTTACCTCAGAGTGACCAACTTTCTATTATTCCTATCCTGACATGATACATTAGGGGCTCCTGCAGTTCCTGTATCTGTTCCCTATGCTCACTTTTTCCACAACAGTTTAATCCATTGTTACTCCTAAGGTGTTTTGCCAACCTGCCTCTAAACGCAGCATGAAGATACTTGAACTGGTTTTACACCTGCAACAGAAACAGGTCTGTTAGAATCATGGCAGCAAACCAGAAAAAAGGCAAAAACATTTGCAGTTTTTCCCGCAAAACCAACTGAGTTGAATAATTCTGTTGGATGCAGATAATATGAGCCGACTAGAATAACCTTTTGGAAATAAAGGTATTTATTAGAGTAGTTTTACTGAAATGTACATTTCTTTAACTTTATTATTATTTCTGTTCTTATTTGACTAAATTGAGTTTGCATTTAAAGAATTTGGAAATATTAGACAAGATAATGAGCTAAAGTTTATGCAAGTTTGAGCATAATTACTCAACATTTTATACATGCCACTGTTTACATCTGTATTGTTTTTTACTTTAGTTCAGGCAGTCTGTTATTTTTCACCCACAGAAAAGATATTTACTTTTTTTTAAAAAATTGAGAAAGTTTCAAAGAAGTGAACAGAGATGAAGTGAAGCAGATTCGGCAGATTTAACTTCAGATTGCTAAACATTTCCTCTGCTTCTTATAAACATGAAGGAAAAACTTACGCCTCTCTACACTGTAAAAACATCCTGACTCCGTTTGATTCAGTCTAGTTTCCTTGTTGCTTGGACTCAGTTTAAATGCATCAACTTTAAATGTCGAGTTCAAAAGACTAATTTAATTGAGCAACTATAAGAGAAACGTAATTTTTTTTACATTATGTCAAGTTGACCATTTTACACTTGATTAACTTTTCAACACATTTCTAAGTTTGAAATAATTTTTGCATTGATTTTTTTTTTTTTTTGTGCCCGCTCTGATTAACGCTGTCTAATCAGATGTGTTGTGTTCAGATGGCAGGAGGAGCGGTCGGGCTTTTGTTTTCTGTTCCTGAGCTGGTTAGTGATTGCCAAAACCTCGACAACATCGAGACAGAAGCCAGTCAGACTCTGAGGGAAAATGCCAGGACCGTCCGGAGCAGCGCCGAGGAGACGGAGAAAGAACTGCAGGAAATAAGGTATGAAAACATATTTTAATCTCCTGTTTGAACTGTCAACTCCTCAGATTTATGTCACTGTAAACATTTTGTACACAACAAAATAAAGTGCCATTAAAGTATTGCTCCATTTTTTTCTTTTTTGACTCTAAAAACTTGAACTAAACATGTAATGACATTGGAGACTTTAACCCACCTTAAATTGTTTTATTCCATAATTTCAAAATGATTATTAAATCATTTTAATGTTAAAATTTGGATTTAATAGAGATGGTTGAATGTTTGGCAGTTTTGTGCAAATTTTTACTTTCTGTCTAAAAAAAAAAAAAAAGAATATTGATGTTTGATTTGGACAACAGAATTTTTTTTTGTCTGAAAATGTTTCACCAGAAAGTTTTATGGGTGAAAGAAAATATGTAAAAGTATAAAAATTTATTTAAATAGAAACTTGTGGAAAAATTATTTTTAAATCTTTTTGCAGAGGAGCTCTTAAGAAGTTGGTGAGAATCAAATACATCATACAGAAGGAAAACATGACCAGAGATGAGAAGAAAGAGCTGATTGACCACTTAATTAATAACACTCATTCTCCAGAGCTCCAACAGTGGTTGAGAGAAAACGCAGAGTCTGATATCTTGGTCCATCTGGTAAATCTTGCCAAATTTATAGAAGAAAAGCTGAATGAGGAGGAGGAGAAGAAGAAAGAAGGATCGGGAGAAGAAGAAGATTGAGTTGATCTTCTTGGCTCATGGTTCGATTGACAACCGAATGATTCCTGCAGGATTTATGCTGCCTCTGCCGTCCATCAAAGACGTCCTGCTGTATTCTCCCTGGAACTGCCTCCTGTATGCTAACGCGGCTTATAGCATCGCTAAAGGAAGCATCCAGCCTGACCACCGACTGTTTAGATGCACCGATCCTGACCTATGCCCTTTTCCTCCAGCAGCCCATACTTCATTTATCCTTCCTCCGATCTGGAACTCCATGAAGAATGCTGGACTTCAACTCGTCCCCGTCATCACGGTTGGTCCAGTAGCAAAAGTAGGAGACCCTGCGTTTGCAGCTTTCACTGCTCTAGCAGCAGAATGTGGTGCACCAGCATCAAACCGGTATCTCGTCCCGTACCTCGACCTTGGGATCGGCGAAGTGCCCTTCTTTACCATCACGTTGGCCATTTCTCTGGTGCTCTTTTTCTCAAACTATGAAGCCACCGTCCACCTGGCTGCCTGCCTGGGGAAATCACCTGAAAACGTTGTGATGCAGGAGGAGTATCTGAGCCAGCAGTACGCCTACACCGTGAACAACACCGGCATGACGGTTCCAAGAGAAACGATTCTCCATATAAACGGTCCAGTGTTTAATATGTTCAGGGCTGTTTTTGGTGACGAGTCTCCATTTTTTTAAATGGGAACTTTCAGGTCTGAGTCACTTCATTCTGCAAAACCGCATTGCGCTGGACCTCCTGACAGCCTCTCAGAGAGGTGTCTGATCGACGTGCTGCACATTCATCAGGAAGCAGGAATTGGTGGAAATGTAGAACTATGAGCAGCACAACCCATGGATCCCAGCCTTTTGACTTTATATCCTGACTCACCTGTGTATTTGTTCTTGTAATGCCCATAGGCCATTACATCTGCCCTCTGGGTGAAACTCTGAGGAACACTGGATTTGTATTTGTCCCTAAGATAATAATTAGTCCTGTTTGACCAGTTCATTGCTCTGAAACGCATCCTTGGTGAACCACCAGGGAACGGGTCCCTTTTTTTTTTGTCGGTTGGTCATTTCTCTGGTCTCTTTCTGTATCTAAATATAAAGCCACTGTCCACCAGGCTGCCTGCCTGGGGAAATTACCCAAAAAGGCCAAAACGCAGGAGGAGTATCTGAGCCAGCAGTACGTCTACACTGTGAACAACACCAGCATGACTGTTCCAAGAGAAACATTCCCTGATGGAGATGAAACCATGTATAACATGTTCAGGGCCGTATTTAATGATTAGTTTCCGTCTTTCTAAAGACTAATCCAGACCTGGAGTACAAAAGCAGAGAGCAGACGTTTTCCTGCACTTATTTTTTCTAGATGTTTTCTCTGGAGAACTTTAAGTTTTTTAAAGATAAGTTCATTTGCTGTTTTCTGGTATTATTTTTCCCAATGGTTTTGTCATAAGTTCATTTTCATCCCAAACTCCCTGCTGGACCTCAGTCATCATCATCCTGCATCTCCCATGTAGCGCCATCAGTTTCAGACTCAGGAAAATGTATTTAGGTAGAATTTATTTTGTATTATGACTATTTGATTCAATATTATCGCCTGATTGCTGCATCAAGCTGTAACCGACTCTTGCAAAACTATTCTTTACTAATAAACGTCGATTATAAAACAATCTTAAAGATGGTGTGGACATTGAACTTACTGAGTCATGATGATTTATGTTTATGTGATGAAATAGCTGCAGTGCATGGTTCTAGTAAATTAAAGGTTTTTAAAGGTTTCTTTGGCATAAACTGAAAAACAGTTTCTTAGGGGTCAAAGGTCAGCCGTTCTGCTCAGACTGCAGTGGTTCTGATTGATCAGGTTGATCAACCTGCATCGTTCACTGATCTAAAGACATTAAACTATTTCTGCTGTTATTTCTACTTTAATCTCAAAATAAATGCAATATAAGGAGAAGATCCTCACTGACATGACGACGTTCCCAAGAGTTAAATACGACTTTATCAAACATCCAGACTTCAGTAAATCAAGAGATTCTTCAGGTCCAGCTTGTTAAAGACAAAAGATGAAAATAAAATCCTTTTTACAAACAAGGAAAATAACATTTTATTGCTCAGAATGCAGTAACATTATTCCTCTGGTTAACATTTGATCATCTGCAGCTAAAGTCTTAACATCAACATGTGAAAAGCTCAACTCTTTCAAACCAACTTAATGCAGCTCAGGACTGATCTGTTGATTAGTTTGGATTAATCAATTAATAGCAAAAGATGCTTAATATGAGATTTATAGTTATTTAAACCTGAATCTTTAGGACTCAAGTCCAGGTTGAGTCTAAAGTTGTTCGTCTTTGTTTACCATATTCAGTTCTTCACATTAAAAACATTTTCTGATGAAACATGATGCAGCCATGTTGACCTGATATAAACTGTTAAGCTACAAATAATTAATTTTACTTTCCTTGGAGATAATGGATTAACTTCACTGATTTTATGAACTGGGTTTGATTTTTACTTTCAGTAAACTTTCACTTTCACTTTCCTGTAAACCAGCAGAAACACAGAAATCCCTCCTCTTCCTTTAAGAACAAAGTTCCCATCAGATTATTTTGATGCTCAGTCGACCAACAGAGACGCTGCACTGTGAGTATGAATTGATCTGAACTTATTCAGCATTAAAGTTTGATTTATTCTGTTTCTTTTATTACTCAATGTTTTCATTTCTGTGTTCAGGGTTGAATGTTTTCACCGTTTCAGCAGCAGTTCAGTTACTCTGTCTATAACTGTAAACCAGGGTGTTCAATGTGTGGCGCAGGGGCCATTTGAGGTCCTCTGAATAATTAAGAACTGAACAGGCAGTTGATGCAGATGAACAATTCTTCATATTTTAGGGCAACATTTTCACAGACAAAACAATTCTTAACACTTTGACAAAAAAAAAAAAAGATCATTTACTGAACGGGTTTATCTTAATTTGTAGTAAATAACGTTTGGTAACTTTCACGTTAAAGGAGACTTTGGGACCCAGCAGTGGTTCGTCCATCAAGCTTCAGGAGAGAAAACCAACCAGCTCAGCCATTTTTAATCTGTTGATTAACTGAGTAATAATTTTATATCAAACAGTGATTAATGAGATTTACAAAATTCGCCACAAAATTTTAGTAGAACATAATTACAGACAATTTTTTGTTAATATTAGATGCAAAATGTTTATATTTTGACTTAATTATTGCTGTTATTTAAGGAATTGACCTTTTTTGATTAATGACGATTCAATTAGTTGACAAATATTTCAATAATTAATTCATTATAACTCATCAGGTTGTTTCAGAATATTCAGATTACAGAGCCTGCAAATATGTTTTCTGAGCAGATTATTAAGAATCTGAGCAGAGAAACTTGAATAATTTCGCTTTTCTCTGATCATTTATTAAAGTTGCAGAGTCCTCCTCTGACCAGCAGGGGGAGAAATCGGTGCAGTTATTCCCTGAGAGTCCCTTGGTGGCATGTGAGCTCCCTCTCGTGGTTAAACAGAGGTACTGCCAACACACAAAGGTTAAATTTTACAGCTTTAGATTTTTCCTGACACATCTGATGTTTTCTGAGTCTGTTTGGATCATTTGACCCGGTGTGAATCAGGGAGGTTAAGTGTGCTTTGGGAACATTCTAATTATTTTGTGTCTATTTTTCTTGATTGTTTCTTTTGAAGACTTTAGTTGAATAACTTTTTTCTGTTTTTTAATTTCTTATTTTCTGTAATTAATTTGATTATGTTAGATTGTGGAGCTGTTGGTCTGACTATAAATAGGCTGGTTTTCTACGCCTGTGTAAGTGTGTGTAGACCCGCTCTTTGTCTCGCTTTCTTCGCTCCACCACCCTGCAGCTGACGTCTCCAAATACCTGCCATGCAGTAGTTTCTGTTAGCCTTTGTTTGTTTGCTTTTTTGCTGTGATTTTGGCCTCATTTGTCCGGTTTTCCTGGTTTTGATTCTTTCTTTTGCAGTAGGTTGTTTTTGCTTTAGTCCGGTCCGATACGATTGTCCCTCTGCTGTACCGTTTTGTTCTCTTTGATCGGCTCTCCAGGTCCACCTTTCTGTTAATACTTTGGGGATTTTGTTCTTTCTCTTCTTGAGTATGAGGATTGAGGGTATTTAACACGCTCTTTTTTCTTCATCAAAGCAGCTGAACCAAAAGAAAATTCCAAGACAATTTTAAAATAACAAATATTTTGAACTCTCACTCTTGCATCCATGTCAGAGGGGTTAATACTTGTCATATCTATAGCCCGACATTCTCTGTAGACATTAATATTGAACGGAGAACTGTGCCCAAAGACATTTCTCTGTCTGTCTCTGCCCAGTGCTGCTGCGCTCCCTTGTGATTGCATATTTATTACATCGAGGTGTTGCTCAGGTTACAAATCATTTGCATAGGAGGAGGGCAAACAGAAAACACAGCTGCAAACAGAGTCCCAAATCTCTAAATACAATGAAGTTATCCTGCAGTTGTTATGTTGTTCCCATGGTTCTCCGAGTCATAAACTTTGACGCTTAGTCGTTGATGTCCTTCTGTCAGGGCAGCTGTGGCTCCAGGCATTCTGCTTCTCCGGAAATAAAAGAAAACATGCATCCCGAAGCAAACAAAAGATCTCTCAGTCATTCATATTTTTATAGATTATTAATTTAATCCTACATCATTTTTTGATTTTAGCATTTCTGAAAGGTCTAGAATTATAAGACTGAGATATCAAGGCAAAGAAAACCCATTAGGTCAGAAGGTCTGGTGAACTGATAAAAAACCTGCCAAAACAAACTCAATGATCCTGTATTTTAGTTTCTGATCAGCAGAGGGCGCTATTAGACAAACTGTATTATTAAACACGACAAAGTAGGACTAGAGCAAAACATGTGCTAACTATCTAGTCTGCTGTTTCCATCTCAATTTCATGATTTGATGGGTCTGTTTGACCTTTGAACTTTAATTCATATCTTCAAAGCCAAAGCTGCACACAAAAAAAAAAT